TTCAACTGAACGACTGACTTCAGGTTCCTTAGATCCATAAACCCACCCACCGGAAAAGCCGTGGGTGATGTCAAGCGACGCATAGTCACGGATCCCATATCGTTTATATATCGTGTATATATATATATATATATATATATATAATCTGCAGTGACTTGAGATTGGTTGATTGTTGACGAGCGGTGGCCATCTGAATAACCACCTGGAGGTTCTGAATTTGTGTGTCGCGATCGCCACCCATCTTTTGTAATTCTTTCTCTGATTACTTGAACAGCCTTTGCACTTAAACAGTTTCAACGTAAGTTTTTAATCCTCGGACGCTCTTGTGACGTTGGACAGAACCTCATTTTCTTTCCCCAAAGCGATACGCAATTTATACATATTCTTGATTGTTTTGGAACGCAGTCTGATCTTCCACGTGTGTTTTCTTTGTTTCTACGGCACATGCATTTTCACGGATTATTACTAACAGACTACATGCTATCCGTTGCGTGAATTGTCGTCAACCGATGCGTAGCCATGAGTTGTTCATGCGAGCCGAATACCCGAAATCACATCCGGCCTCGATGGATACGGATCAACAACCACCACCTCCCCTCGTGTTTCACGTATCCTGTTTTACGTGTTGTGTATGTCAACAGCCGTTGGCTGCTGGCGATCCCTACACTATTGATCCACGATCCAATCGACCGATTTGTCGAACCGACTATTTGTCCAGTCGAGATACCTCGGAAGCCAGTGCTCCCCGTAGCGATTCATCCGTATCACGCCGTCGAGTTCGTCCCGATCGTCCCACCTCGTCGTCATCGACGTGGAAAAGACGGGCGCTGCAGGATCCGGAACGAACCGGTCGTGTTAGAAAAATGCCTGATCGTCCTAATCCCAGTCCGGTCGGTCGGACGAGTGAAATTTCAATCCCCATGGAATCGCATTATGATCCGGGCAACACGAATTCACTCACATGTCATAGCAATAAACGTATCCGGACATCGCTTACAGACGAGCAACGGTTACACTTGCAAAAAGCATTTGAAGTGAACCCCCGACCTCCGAAACCGGTGAGTCACGGTTAAATTGTTCATGTTCAAACTGCCATTCACTATTTATAATACCATTTTGAACTAAGTGATCCTTTGACAATTCTAAGCAGTGTGAGTAATGGAGGATTTGATTCAATTTCATAGAAGGAATCCGTCATGTATAGAGTAAATGAAGTGTAAATTACAAAGCTAGGAAGCACTGGACACCTGTTTCGACCTGGCGGGTCTCATCAACAGTGCAAATCCATCGCCCGGGGATCGAATCCGAGACCTCACAAACAGAACGCAAGCATGCTACCCAGTCGACCACCGGGCAGCTGATCAGGCCGTATTTTTTCATTTTCCATTTACACGATATAGTAGCATAATCCATCTTTGCGAGCATCGCACCTAGCTCATCTCAGCACTAACCTCCAGGGTTGAGTAGCTTGGAAGCTTTCATAACTGTACTACTTGTTGCAAGTGAGTAATGGAGGATTTGATTCAATCCAACCAGGTCGAACTAGTTGTGCAGTATATATTATATATTTTACACCGGTTTGAGAACAAGCATGGTACCAATGCAAAACAATGATAATAAAGTTATGGAGAGGTACAGAAAAAATACATGGAAATGGGGAAAATAGAGAACACGGAGAACGAATGTATAAATGAAAAAAAATCATGGATAACCCTTCACATCCATAACATCAAGATCTTATCAAGTGTGTTTCCTCCTCTTCCACCCGGCCCCGTTATAAGTGTATATTTGCTCGTACGACCGCTTTTCGGTCTTCTGTGGTACCCTATCTTGCCCGTTTTCTTGTCAGCGCAGAAACCATTGCTTCGGACCTTTACTCGCTTATCTCGTAAATTGTTTTCATTTTCACTGCTCACGATAATTATGTTATAATTTTGTTCGATAATTGTTAGGTGACTATGTGACTGCTGAATATCCACCTTTCGGGGTGCACCAAGCAAATACTTGACTTAAAGGAATTTTTTTGTGTTATGGGGAACGGGGTTTCGCCAAACAGACCGCACAACAATCGCGCCACTGACATCTATTCTGAGCCATATCTCCCAGCGTCTCTAGCCATCGGCAATCCTCATCCCAGCCTGGAAGGCAAACTGCACCAACCGAAGCGAGAGCTAAAGCCAGCTTCTTCGTACCTCCACGCCACGTCATGGTCTGACCGTCGCGGCGCTTCTTCCAGCCTTGCCCGGCACGTGCAAAGAGGGCACGGCGAGGTAGTTGATGGGCAGGCATACACAAAACATGACCGAACCATCGGAGGCGGTGTAGAACTACTTCTTCCGTTAGCGAACGACTATCAGTACTTAGCACACGACGACGAATTTTGTCAT